AAGCATGCACTGGGTGCTCCAGAGAGGTGGGTCTGCTTCCTTCCACGCGGCTGCGTGCCTGGCTTGTGCTCCCCTGGCATGGAATGGCACAGCACAAGCACCAGCTTCTGCTCCATGTTGCTTCCCTGCAAAGCTCGGGTGTATTCCCCAGCTCCGAGTGTATTTCTGTCCAGGAAAACTTCCCGCAGGCCAGTGCCTGACCTTGGAACAGAGCTTCCCGCTCTCCTTTATTTTTTTGGTTTATTTAATATATAGTAAAATAAACTTAGTTTCCCCTTCTTGATGTTACCAGCTGCTTCACTGAGCCACAGCATGATGAAGGGAAAATCAAAACGCGGTGACATTTGCTGGAGTTGAAAGGCGGGTCAGGCTCTGGGGCTACTCATCTCAATTGCACTTTTGTTCTAAAAATGAGAGGGAGAATGGGTGCACCCTGCTGGCCTGGCGTGATCTCCCAAGCCTTAGGAAGAAGGAGCAGGGTGGAAGCCTTGCGGGACTGGGAAGGTGCTGGGGAGCCTGGGACTCCAGCAGGTGACACTGGGGCTGGAGCAGCGCTGGGCAGGCGCTGTTGAGCTGAGGAGCGGTCCCAGGCGACTTCTGGCTCCATGGGGTCAAGTGTTCAGCCTTGCTGTGGCGATGACAACCCGAGTGGGTGCATCTCAAGTCCCTTAACCCGTCTGGGATTCTGTTCCTCTCCCGTAAGCTAGAGCTAGCAGCGCTTGCAGGGGACGCGGACCCTGTTCTCTACTCAGCCCATGTGTTCCTCCCTGTTGTTCTGCAGCCCAGGCAGCCAGGTGGGATTTGGGGCTGCTGGAGCAGCCCTCGTGTCTCTTGTCCTGGTGCTACCAAGCTGCAATTCCTATTTCCTGAGGGCTGCGGCACTGGAGTTGGCAGTGCTGGGGGGGGGGAGTTTTGGCCAGGCAACATCATCTTCATCGTGGTGAATGGAGCTAAATCCAGTTGGCGGCCGGTCACAAGCGGTGTCCCCCAGGGCTCAGTTCTAGGGCCAGTCTTCTTTAATATCTTTATGAATGACCTGGATGAGGGGATTGAGTGTGCCCTCAGTAAATTTGCAAACAACACCAAACTGGGTGGCAATGTTGATCTGCTCGAGGGGAGGAGGGCTCTGCAGAGAGACCTGGACAGGCTGGATCCATGGGCCCAGGCCAACTGTATGAGGTTCAACACAGCCAAGTGCCGGGTCCTGCACTTGGGTCACAACAACCCCACACAATGCTACAGGCTTTGGGGAGAAATATTCTCCTCAAAAACCCTATTTGTCCAAGTAAGAGTACTGTTTTGGTTGCCAGAATCCATAATTTGACATGTTTCAAAACCTTCTAGCCTCAAATTTCAAATGTCATTCTGCCTCAGGTTTCTTTTGTTATTTTGAATTTTTTTCCCATAGCCATGTTCCTAGAGCTTTGGTCATCTTTAGTAAGCTTCAATATAGACTGGAAGATTCCCTCTGCTGGACATTTGCAAGGATTGACTTCGAATTCTGACAACCTTTACACAGCAAGGATTCTGATGATTAATGGTTTGAAGCTGCGCCAGGGCAGGTTTAGGCTGGACATTAGGAAGAACTTCACTGAAAGGGCTGTCAGGCTCTGGAATGGGCTGCCCAGGGAGGTGGTCGAGTCCTCATCGCTGGAGGTATTTAAAAGAAGGATGGATGAGGTGCTTAGGGCCGGGGTTTAGTGGTGGGATGGCAGGGTCAGGGGAACGGTTGGACTCGATGATCTTAAAGGTCTTTTCCAACCAAAGTGATTCTATGATTCTCTGTATTGCTGTCTCGCTCATTCTGCTTTCCCCCAACTCTGAAAAGCAGCTGCTGTTACGGTCCCAGCGAACATCAGGTTTCGGTACCCGCGTACGAAAGCATCAGTTGCTATCGAGCGGGCAGGCAGTGGCACTTCATCACCCAGCGCAAAGCTCCAGCCGGAGCTGAGGGTCTCCACACCCCAGCTGCAGCCACCTGCACCTGAAAAGGTGCTGCTTTGGGAAGGCCCTGCTTTTGCACGTGGGAAATGAGGTCTTCCGTCTCCAGCTTGACCTCGGTTTTGTCTGTGCTACGTGCCTCCGCCACAGTTTCTCACTCGGTGGCCTTGGGCACATCACTTGTCCCGTGCGCGTTGGGTGACGTGGTCTGCATGTGGTGCCCTGCCCGGGGGGGGCTCGCTGGGGTGCCAGGGCTGTGCTGCTTGTGCCAGCGGCTGAGGGACCTGGGCTGCAGAGCAGTGGGGTGCGAGGTGCTGTGTGTGCAGTGAACGATGTGCGAGCCAGCGTCCTGCGGTGGCTGCTGCCAGGCAGCTGCTGGCTCTGCCGTGGTGCCCAAGGTGACCTGGCTGACCCTGCACAGCGAAGGTGGGGGACTGGAGACATCCCCTGCCCGATGGGAATGTCCCCAAAACATGCAAAACCTAACCACTGCCTGCGCTCTTCCCCGCGGTGGCTGCCCCTCATCCTTTCCCTTGGCAAGGAACAGCGATCGAGTCGAACCCCCCAAAACAGTGGGCAGGCAGCTTTGTAGAACCCCAACCAAGCACCCCCTTGTCCCCAGGGCTTCTGCATTTGAACGCCTCGGGAAAAGCCCCTGAGCCCTCCCTGCACACTGGCAAAATCAAATCTGTTCTGCTGTCCCCAGCGTGTTGCTGCTGCTCTCCTGCCTTCCTTTCGCCTTGGCGCGGGGCTCTTCAGAGGCGCCGCCTTGGCGAGAAGGGGCTCTCCTGCTGCTCCCCGGGAAGAGCAGAGGAAGAGGAGGTGGGCTCCATCCCCTCTGGTAGTCCCAGACCGTACTCTCCAGGGGCCCAGAAGAGCCATCTTTTCTGCCAGGTGATAAAAGGATGCGATGGGGATAGTGCAATCCACCTAATTTTAACTCAGAGGCAGCAGAGCAAAGGGAGGGAGGGAGCGCTGCAGTCCTGCAGCCAGACATTAATATTTCATCTGCACCAGAGCTGGCCATGAGGTCTTGGCTTTCATTTCTGTTTTTCTTCCTCTTTTTATAAATTAAAATCCCAAAATAACCGTGCTGCTCTGGGATATTTTTAAGCTGTTTTTCCCCTCATCCTTTCTTCCCTGCAACTCCCAACACGTTACAGCTGAGGGGGCTCCTGGTTGCCAATGGAGAAGGCTGCACGTCACTTCCTCGGCACGGGGCCGTCTCCAGCCCTCAATGCTCACTTTGTTTCCCCCCTAATAGTCTCTGGGAGCCATCAGGACCCTTCACAGTGTCACCTTACCCGTGTCCCATGGCCCATTGTGGGAGCGGCTGCTAACGTGGAGGCAGAGCCTCCGTGCCCCCCAGCCCAGGCACCGGGGCAGCGGGTGAGGCTCCCTCTTCCAGCTGTATCCTTGCCTGCCTCCTCTTCTGTTTTCTCTGCTAGGTGGCCCAGCTCC